GGTTTGTGTGGGTGTGGGGTGGGGGGGGGGACACCACCGCCGAGCGGAGGAGAGGCGGTGATTTGGAGAGCACACGGGCTGTAGGCGCAAGAGGTGACGATTGAGACGGATGCGCCCGTCGTGTGGACCACCGTGCTCAGGCCGGCTGGGGGGCGCGAGGCTTAAGCGCCGAGTTCCCCCCCCCCCCCCCCCACCCACGGTCTTAGACAGGAGACAGACTCCTGTGCTACTCTATGTGCTGGAGTGTCGCTCAGGCTCTACCGCGCGCGCGTCTGCGAGAGCGTGAGAAAGAAAGAAAGAAAGCGGACAACCCAACCAGGGGTGGGAGGTATCTCTTAACAGTACACAACTCACTCGAATCGGCCCTGCGGGTGAGGCTGAGGGCCGGGACCCGGGGCCGAGCGTTTTTGATCTCTCATGGGGGTCTGCAGCAGTGCCAGCTGAGTGCCAGTGGGGCTGGGGGGGGCCGAGCCGCCTCGGAGTGGCGGGCGGGCGGGCGTTTTGAAAAACAGAAAACAGGAAAGAGAGGGGGGGTCAGGGCCCCCACTACGATTAGACACACGCACCTGGCTCCTGGGACAAGGGGCGAGAATCGCAGCATGCAGTTCAGCGGAGAGGGGGGGGGGGGGGAGCCGAGGGGGCGACGTCCCGACACGGCACAGCTTGGAGCTGACCCCCGGAGAGAGAGAAAAAGAACAGCGATGGCGCCCCCATATGACCGTAGACAGAAATGACGAGCCGACAGCGATGCAGCGGCAGCGAAGGCGGCGAGAAGGGCCCGCTGCAAAGCTTCGGGCGGCAGCAGAAACATCGGCGGACGGGGGAGCACGCGGGACACGTCGGCATAGGAGCCAGGGGTGTGGGCTGGGCCTGCATCATGAATGGGCCTGATAGCGACGGCGGCGACGTAGGCGAGATGGCGGCGAGGGTGGCGACGGTCACGATGAAGCTGGCTTGACGAAATGGATGACGCCATCGCGCAACAATGGACATCCTCGATGTCGTCGTCCTTGCCGGAAGGGGCAGCGCACGCGCCTCTGAAGATCGAGGCGCGTGGCTCAAAGCCGGCGCTGCGCGGGTTCGCCCATCCGATTATATGGTGTACTTTTCCATTTTTTTGGATCCCGTGGTCGTCCCCCCCCGCGCCCCACCGGGTGTGCCGTGTGTAGGAGGGGCAGGGGGGTCTACGGGGGAAGGACCGTGAGTTGACGGAAATCGGGGGACGCGACCCACCTCGCCACAGACGGTCCCGCGCCTCGCCGCTAAGACGGGGACACACCCCGCACCGTCCGCTGTGTCCCCGTCTTTGTCCGGAGTGAATGAAAAGTCCAACGCGCTCGTCGGACGGTGGCTTCCCCCAATCTGTGTCGCACTCGGCGAACCTCGACAGCGCCTTCGGTGGCATGCAGCTCTTTGCGCCTGAAGCCTGGAGAGCAGCTCCTCTGCTGCTCACACGCTCTGCACAGTTGGCACAGCCTACTGGCTCGCCCTCACTGGCCCTCAGTCACTTATGTGCTGCGGCTTGTGTGAGCGACACTGCTCGGTGACTGCCGGCACACTGTGAGACCATGGGTGTGAGGTAAAGGCTCCACGCTACCAGCGCGTGGCCACATTGGCCCTGAGGTCAGATCCTTCTCTGTTGCAGTCGCGCTCCCAATACGTGCATACTTTTGTGACAGGTCTGAGTCAGACTTTGAGCGGCCATATCTCGGTAACTATTGATGGTCCACCTGAAAACTCTTCGGATTTGGAACGGGGCCCGCCCCCGTTCGATGCA